GGAAACTAGGACAGGCCATCGTGAAACTGCATTCCTTGCATGAGCTAGCTTTGCTTGTCGGTGTTTGTCGTTATCAGACTCAAGTTCACGATTCGGTAGCCTCCTCCCGTGTTCAGTGCGCTCACCGTGCTAACACGGCCATGTCTGCTGCTCCCGACACGTCAGGGCAGCTCGCGCGGCCCCTCTGGCCCGCAGAGGTCCTTGACCGTGATGGCGCAGCCACACACAGAGGCGTCCAAATCACAGTCGCGCCACATGCCAGAGAAGGTGGCCGAGTAGGTGGCGGAGAAGGCAGCAACGAAGCTCGGGATGGTCAGGGTCGGGGCGGTGTTGACGCAGATGATGGGTCTTCCGAGTCAGTGCCGCCGCCGCGACCCGGAGATCTTCTGCCACTGCCGGGCAATGTTGAGAATCTCGGAACCGGAAACACCTTCATCGTGCACCAGCCAGCACCATTACCATCGTCACATGGTAAGGCGTGTCCGGACCGTTCACAAGCACAAACACGTGACCAATCGCATCTCTTGGCACTTGCATTTCTATGGTGGGCTGTTCCATCACGAGCTGCGACCGCCGCCGTCGGGAGGTGACATAGACGTCACCTCTGATCACTCGATGGCTCATGACAGTGATAACGACCATGCTGATGCGGCTGGTCCACCACAATCAGATTCAACGTGCAGCCGCAGTTCATGCTAGACCCCCGGGACCCATGCATCACTGTACTGTACAGTTGCAGGTTGCTGTTGATGTGTCACACGCGAAGTGGCGAAGTGGCGTTAGTGCAAGCGAGACTCGAAGACTCCGGGAAACAATGGATGAGTAGGCCCTACGTTGACTCACGTTGACCAGTGCCTTGCTTGTGGTAGTGGTCGCAGTGATATCATCAGCACAGCGCAGTTTCTTCATGAGTCATTCACGCGGTGCATAAACCTTTTGATCGCACGGCACTATGGATGTGATGACTTGTGTGTCGCGGGCCACATGTCATGTGCGAGTGTCTGCAGTGCTGCAGAAACTCACACATGACACAGTCTCGTGCAACAATGCCATGTCATCGCATGTAAGGCATGTCTACCTGCGTCTGCAGTTTTTCACTGCTGTACTCTGTGTAAAAAGGCTGACGCTCACGACCTCGTGTGCTTCCGGCTCATATGTTGCAGTGAATGCGACGCGCGTGTCGATGCGGTCAGCTCGAGCAGCGTTGCTTGCGAGGCCGGCTGTCGGCTGTCGTGCCTTGAGACTACTAGGCTTGTGTACGACGCTGACGGATTGCGTTTTCGGCTCAGTACACTGCTCCCTCCGGGACCGTGAGGCAACAATGCAAGACCACAGAAGACCTCCATGCATCTACATTCCTGTGATGCCGTGTTCCATGTTCTTTGCGCATCAAATTAAGCGTAGGGATGTTCGTCTCGTACGAGATTCTAGAGCTGTCAAATAGACAACACCGTCCATGTCATCATTGCGCCGTGCTGCTGCAGCGACTCGCCATGCCCGTAAAACGCACAGGCTTGAAGGCCTTGCGTCTAGCGAGGACTCGCCCTCGCAGACGCCGACAGCCGCTGCCGCCGCTTGGCGCTGAAGAGGCTTCAGCCCGGTCAAGGAAAAAGCCAGCCATCCGTCGTTTGCTGGCTGGCCGAACCCTTGCTGTTTTGCAATCGCTGCGAAATTGCACCCTCTTCCATGCTCGCGACGACAGCGGCCTGTTTCATACAGAGCCACTGCGCCCAGCTGCCGGTCTAACGGCCACCTTAGAAGGGCAGCCAGTCATGATTGTGGATGTGTCGAAGAATGGCACAGTAGCAGTCGCCGAGATCGTGGCCAAAAAAGGCACACGGGCACTGCGCGGGGCCCTGCGCGGCGCCACTCATGTGCTGAGTCGACGAACTACACAACGCTGCTGCGCAACGGCGCTGAAGGATGTAGGCGTGCCCTCCTCACGTGGTTACTCAGCCAGCAACAGTCGCAGAGATAGACACCTGGGGCGCTCTCGAGGCGGCGGTGCAACAGGCCATGCATGAAACGCCAGCGCAGGCTGGCCCAGCCGCTGCCGTTTCACACGACTCGGGCGAGGTCACCGTCGTCTTAGCTCAAGCAGCGCGTGACCATCTGGAAAGTCATCCGCACCATACCCTTTGTCCGAGAGCAACCGAGTGCAAACCTTGTTTCATTTTGGACACGCCCTTTCCACGGCAGATCGATGTGAGACCTCGAAGATGCGGAAACTGCAACAGAAGAAAGGGCCAGGCCGCAACATGGCGGCCGAGGGCCAGCGACGTTCTTCGGATGTGGCCCGAAGTCGTGCACATCCAGCCTGTCGCAAAAACCAAGACAAATTTATACGTCACGCCTCTGTTCCTTCTTACTTGTTTGCAGCTGTTGTACACCCACCTCAACGCGTGTGCCGTGAGGCGCGTACTCGTGGATGTGTTTGCTGCATCAGCTCTTGCAGGCGTGCGCCAGGGATACATTCCGGATCCCACGTCTTGGGCCAACGCCATCCTGGCACTGCCGCAGCCGGAAGAAATCCGATGCATGGCTCTGCAAGGTTTTGTCAACTTCGTAGACACTGCTGTAATGGCCATGAAGAAAAGACAAGCCATTTACAACATGGCCGGCATTCGTGGAGACGCGCACTATGACTTGGCTTCTCGAGTTCGGGCTCGGAATGCATCGACAGGGTATTTCGAGACCCCTTACTCAGCCATACAAGCTTGGTGTGGATTGGATGGGAGCCTGCTGAAGCCGTGGCAACTCTGTGACGGCGAGTCGTTCCAGACGCAGGCAAGTGATCTTCAGCCCTACCTGGAGTCCGGCCGGGACACGCGCCTAGCTTATGGCTTCACTCTGGCGGAGTCGCGACCAGTTTTTCATTGTACCGACTCATACAACAAGCACAGAAATCTCTGGCCGTCTGTCTATGACACCGTGTGGCTCGGCCAGACGCTCCAGCTACAGGAAGGACAGCGTGGGAACCTGACCGTGGGGCTGGCCGCGGACGTCCCGCAAAAGGCCGCCACGCTCGTCACCGGCGATCCGCTGCATGACTGCATCAACCTTCGGCGTGCGTTATCCCACCTCAGCTACGACTTTGCAGACGCCTATCACGACCATGAGGATATCATGAACCGCTTGAGTGCGCCCCCGGCGCCAGAGGTGTTTCCTGATGCGCCAGGTGAGATTCCGCAATTGAGCCAGGCCGCGCGAGAACATCTGCACGACATGTTGACCTTGCGGGTGTTGACGTGGAGGCAAAAATGGGTCCATCGTCCAGAAGTCACCAACGAGCTCCAACGTTTTCTGCAGCAGCCACACGTGCTGGACCACAGCGTGTGGACTCGGATGTACCGTTGCCATCCGCCCAGGGGAGTCGGGGCCAGACTAGCCCGACGCTTGGACGTGTCATTGCATCCAACTTGCGGCTTCTGGAACTTTTCATCCAAGAAAGCATTCAGACTGGAACTGACGCGTCAGCAAAAGTGGTACAGACAGCCAAAGAAGTTGTGGAGGCCAACAGTGCAACGTCGGCGACGCATCATGCGTGCGCAGTGGGGACCTCGAATGGCCGTCGGTCCTCGCTCGGTATTGACGCAGAAAGTTGCTTTGCATTACAAAAGATTACAGAACAAGACAAGGACTCAGGGACTATGGAGTTGGCGCAAAGTAGCTTTGCAGCTGCACGAGGCTGGCTTGCCGATCCACAGTGGCACCGTTTCGGTTGAACGGCTCTGGGCGACCGCGCAACTCTGCTTTCCCACGTCCTGCAGATTCATTGGAAAAGCATGGTTTGAATTCCTGTCTCTGCTGGCCTACCTGAAGATCAACTACAGCATCTTTCACCGTCCTTCCTTGCCTGGATGGGCAAGAACAGACGCACAATTGGCCGAGAAGGTAGACACGTTGTTTCATGTGGCAACTCAGCTTGTTCAGTGTACCGAAGCAGACACCGACGTGCTGCCCGCGCTTGCAGCAGCCTTCCAGGCGAAAACCGAGCAGGCCGAATCTGCTGCTGCGCCTGCGCAGCCTGCCAGTGTTAACGTGGACACAAAACCCGTTTCCATACACCGACAACGTGGCCGGAACTTTCCTCACGCACTGCAACAGGAGACCGCAGCTGCGTCATCCACGCCCCTAGACGCGGCTGCTTCTGGCTCGCAGATTCAAGAAGCCTGCACTCGCAAACATACAAGAGGTGCGAATGAAACCCAGACGCTACAAACACCGCAGGTCTTCAAGCGAATGTTGCGACCCCTCTGGAATGAAGCTTTGGTCACCGGCCAAAAGTTTGTGGAAGTGCAGCGCTATCAGGATCGCAGAGGTAACCTTATGCGAGGATGCACAGCGGGCACTTTTCTGGTGTTCGGTCCTACGGGCTTCCGACTCAACCAAGGTCCCGTTCATGGTTTTGCAGAGGTTGCCAAAGTGACTCTTGGACTCCCTGCTGAGTCACTTCTGGACATGCTACATCTCGTGGCGCCACATTTGCGGGGTGATCTCAGCAATTACATGGGCGATGCCAAGTATTTCGACGCAGTGGAGCTGCGGCGAGTCTATGATGCGCGCGAGCAGAGCTGGACATGGCAGGACTTGCTGCGCCTGCTGCACGTGAACTCGGAGTCGCCGGCAGCGAAGCAGTCGCAGGGATTTCCTGCCCTGGGTGGACTTGCAACAATGGCAAGCATTCGGACATTATGCGAGCGGAACAGCCTGCCCATGTTGGAGCAAAACTCCTGGTAAGCTCTTGCAAGTTCTTGACCGAGGAGGTTTCTGCTTCCGTTGAAAAAGATCGGGATGTTCTGCTTTTGAGCATCAGCCGTGCATTATTAAAAAACCTGGCCTTCTTGATTTCTGCATTCCTTCTGTGCAATCCCGACAGCAAGCAGTGTGTTTCGTGACGATCTCAACATGAGCCGCAATTGACATGACAAGACACATGTGACAGCCCCTCTGGTACATAATAGTAGTAATCACATAAAAGTCAGCTTTTCCAAGTCCACATGGCGGCACGGCGCGCCGCGGAGTCGGCGTCTCCGGCAGTCCAGGGCAGCTCTGGCGCGTTTCAGAATTTCATCCTAAAGTCCAGAGAGCGAGCTTTCGTCCGGGAAAACCCACCTGCTGATCCGGCAAGCGAAGCCTCGGCTTCATCCCAGGATGCCGAAACTACAGAGGCTCGGCCAAGCTGCGACAGCCCGTTGAGCATTCTGTCTAGCGATGTCGAGGCGAGCATTCAGCAGGTGCTGGCTGACATGGCAGAGACAGCCAGCAGACTTGAAGCTTCGGCAACACGGGCCAGGCGCTTTTTGGTGCGCTTCCCCTGGGAAAATGACGCGGTCTGGCCAGCCCTGAAAGAGGTGGAGACGCTGCGATCCCGCGCGGCTGCAATTCTTGCACGAGCAATGTTCGGCTTGCCCGTTCACGATTTGCCCTTGTACAGCTCCGGCGAGCCTCTCCGAGCAGAAGCCAACCTAGCGCATGCAGTTTCTCGCGCGCAACACCGTGCTCGAAACAATATAATTCAATGAAGGCCAAAAATGCTCACATCACTCTTGCGGAATGGGTGCGTGTTTTTTGCCAGGCACCCCTCGCAAGAACAGATCTGTTTTTCATTGGCGCTGGAATTTTTTCATGGCCCAGTGCATCGCGATTCCGCAATATGCGCGCGCTGATGAGGCAGATGCTCAACGAAACTTAATTAGTTGCTGTGTTACTTGCTTCTGAGCTGCGCGCAGGCAACTCCACATGCTGGCAGTTCGGAAACCCAGACCGACTCATATGAGAGAAATCTGATTAAGTGAATACATCACTAATTGTATGGTACCGCTGCAAAAAAAACGCAGAGCGTAGACGTGCTGCGCGAGCCAGCCCAGAAGCAGGCGTGTCGAGTCCTATTGGCAGGATTCGCGCCGTGCTTGTCCTTGCAGGGACTCGCAGGGAAAATAATCAATGAGAAGCGCAGGAAAGGCTGCGTCTGCGTCAGTGTGGCCAAAGCAAAAACTCAGACACGCATCTGTGCCTGCGCGTCTGTCAGAGTAACCTTGTGACAGTTCTATTAGCTTTTGCTCTCAGAGTAACCTTGTGACAGTTCTATTAGCTTTTGCTCTTATTCCAGTTCTTGCCAAATTTTCCTGATGATACTTCAGCTCTTCTTCGTGCTTGAGAGCTACTACCGCTCAAATTGCTTCAACTGCCACTTGACCAAATTTTCCTCATGATATTTCAGCTCTTCTTCGTGCTTGAGAGCTACTACGGCTCAAATTACTTCAACTGCCACTTGACGGCATTCTTCTGACATGGCACGTGCAGTCCAGTCCGAGTCCCACAAATTTTTTTCGGAACAAAGAAGCCGACGTCGCCAATGGCAACCCCGCTCCCACAGGGACGGATGCTCGGTCTTTGTTCCCCTTGGACATTGTGTTGACAGACCAGGCCGAGCACCAAGTCTGTCCTGCCAGGAGCTCTGCCGCCCCGAACGACGGCCACCCGTCGCCGGCGCAGACAACGCCGGGACGGCAGGGACGCCAGACTCCATCGATGATGGAACGATGCAAGTGTTGCTTGCGCAACAAACGGCCGAACACATTGACAGTGATGTGGCCTCTGACATGTCGGAAGCAATGCGTGCCTCTACCACCGAGCCGGAACAGGGCCGCTGTGTGGCCTGGAGGAAGAAACCGGCATTTTGGTGCTTCGTGCGTGCTTGGCAGAGGCCACGAAAGAGGAAGCCTGGTGTGGCAGTGAAAAGCAGATCCCTGCGCCGCTGTGGGGCGGCGACGGCGATTGGCAGCGAATACCGCATGTCCAGGGCAGCTCTGGTGCGTTTCAGAATTTCATCCTAAAGTCCAGAGAGCGAGCTTTCCTCCGGGAAAACCCACCTGCTGATCCGGCAAGCGAAGCCTCGGCTTCATCCCAGGATGCCGAAACTACAGAGGCTCGGCCAAGCTGCGACAGCCCGTTGAGCATTCTGTCTAGCGATGTCGAGGCGAGCATTCAGCAGGTGCTGGCTGACATGGCAGAGACAGCCAGCAGACTTGAAGCTTCGGCAACACGGGCCAGGCGCTTTTTGGTGCGCTTCCCCTGGGAAAATGACGCGGTCTGGCCAGCCCTGAAAGATGATATTTCAGCTCTTCTTCGTGCTTGAGAGCTACTACGGCTCAAATTGCTTCAACTGCCACTTGACGGCATTCTTCTGACATGGCACGTGCAGTCCAGTCCGAGTCCCACAAATTTTTTTTCGGAACAAAGAAGCCGACGTCGCCAATGGCAACCCCGCTCCCACAGGGACGGATGCTCAGTCTTTGTTCCCCTTGGACATTGTGTTGACAGACCAGGCCGAGCACCAAGTCTGTCCTGCCAGGAGCTCTGCCGCCCCGAACGACGGCCACCCGTCGCCGGCGCAGACAACGCCGGGACGGCAGGGACGCCAGACTCCATCGATGATGGAACGATGCAAGTGTTGCTTGCGCAACAAACGGCCGAACACATTGACAGTGATGTGGCCTCTGACATGTCGGAAGCAATGCGTGCCTCTACCACCGAGCCGGAACAGGGCCGCTGTGTGGCCTGGAGGAAGAAACCGGCATTTTGGTGCTTCGTGCGTGCTTGGCAGAGGCCACGAAAGAGGAAGCCTGGTGTGGCAGTGAAAAGCAGATCCCTGCGCCGCTGTGGGGCGGCGACGGCGATTGGCAGCGAATACCGCATGTCCAGGGCAGCTCTGGTGCGTTTCAGAATTTCATCCTAAAGTCCAGAGAGCGAGCTTTCCTCCGGGAAAACCCACCTGCTGATCCGGCAAGCGAAGCCTCGGCTTCATCCCAGGATGCCGAAACTACAGAAGCCGGCCAAGCTGCGACAGCCCGTTGAGCATTCTGTCTAGCGATGTCGAGGCGAGCATTCAGCAGGTGCTGGCTGACATGGCAGAGACAGGCAGCAGACTTGAAGCTTCGGCAACACGGGCCAGGCGCTTTTTGGTGCGCTTCCCCTGGGAAAATGACGCGGTCTGGCCAGCCCTGAAAGAGGTGGAGACGCTGCGATCCCGCGCGGCTGCAATTCTTGCACGAGCAATGTTTGGCTTGCCCGTTCACGATTTACCCTTGTACAGCTCCGGCGAGCCTCTCCGAGCAGAAGCCAACCTAGCGCATGCAGTTTCTCGCGCGCAACACCGTGCTCGAAACAATATAATTCAATGAAGTCCAAAAATGCTCACATCACTCTCGCGGAATGGGTGCGTGTTTTTTGCCAGCCACCCCTCGCAAGAACAGATCTGTTTTTCATTGGCGCTGGAATTTTTTCATGGCCCAGTGCATCGCGATTCCGCAATATGCGCGCGCTGATGAGGCAGATGCTCAACGAAACTTAATTAGTTGCTGTGTTACTTGCTTCTGAGCTGCGCGCAGGCAACTCCACATGCTGGCAGTTCGGAAACCCAGACCGACTCATATCAGAAATCTGATTTATTGAATACATCACTAATTGTATGGTACCGCTGCGAAAAAAACGCAGAGCGTAGACGTGCTGCGCGAGCCAGCCCAGAAGCAGGCGTGTCGAGTCCTATTGGCAGGATTCGCGCCGTGCTTGTCCTTGCAGGGACTCGCAGGGAAAATAATCAATGAGAAGCGCAGGAAAGGCTGCGTCTGCGTCAGTGTGGCCAAAGCAAAAACTCAGACACGCATCTGTGCCTGCGCGTCTGTCAAAGTAACCTTGTGACAGTTCTATTAGCTTTGGCTCTTATTCCAGTTCTTGCCAAATTTTCCTGATGATACTTCAGCTCTTCTTCGTGCTTGAGAGCTACTACGGCTCAAATTGCTTCAACTGCCGCTTGACCAAATTTTCCTCATGATCTTTCAGCTCTTCTTCGTGCTTGAGAGCTACTACGGCTCAAATTACTTCAACTGCCACTTGACGGCATTCTTCTGACATGGCACGTGCAGTCCAGTCCGAGTCCCACAAATTTTTTTTCGGAACAAAGAAGCCGACGTCGCCAATGGCAACCCCGCTCCCACAGGGACGGATGCTCGGTCTTTGTTCCCCTTGGACATTGTGTTCACAGACCAGGCCGAGCACCAAGTCTGTCCTGCCAGGAGCTCTGCCGCCCCGAACGACGACCACCCGTCGCCGGCGCAGACAACGCCGAGACGGCAGGGACACCAGACTCCATCGATGATGGAACGATGCAAGTGTTGCTTGCGCAACAAGCGGCCGAACACATTGACAGTGATGTGGCCTCTGACATGTCGGAAGCAATGCGTGCCTCTACCACCGAGCGCGGCCAGCACAATGAAAGAGCCGGAACAGGGCCGCTGTATGGCCTGGAGGAAGAAACCGGCATTTTGGTGCTTCGTGCGTGCTTGGCACAGGCCACGAAAGAGGAAGCCTGGTGTTCTTGCGAGACATTACGCGTGCCGCCGTGCACCAGGACATTGTCTTCCGTCTTGGGGCAGACAAACTCTGCATCCCGCCAGAAAGCCGCTGGAACGGTCAAGAAGGTGTCGGGAAGCTGCGCGGAGTCTGCGCTCAAACATGTCAGCAAGTTGGGACGCAATCGCTGCCAATCGCCGTCGCCGCCCCACAGCGGCGCAGGGATCTGCTTTTCACTGCCAGGCATGGCGGCTGCCATTTCATGCCCTTCCTGACAAAGGAGGAATACGAGCAACTGCCGCCGCCGTGGGTCCGCAGCCGTTTTCGTGACACGGTAATCTCTGTGGCCTCAAGAACCGGGTTTCTGGCTGAATCCACAAAGTGAGTCACTAGGGCTGCTATAATAATCAGCCTAATTTTGACAGGAGTGCGTAATTGCGTGTGTACGTATGTGTACGTGTACATGCACCGCTGTCTCTGTATGTGTGTCTATACATTATATATATATATATACATATATATATATATATACATATATACATACATATATTACACAAATCTAGTTGTATGTGCGTATATACCGCATATATACATTCTTTACCCCGCCGACACATTTGCCTCGACAGGAGCGGAACAGCGACTTTGGCAGATCAGGTGCGCGAGTGCCGCGACTGCTACTTTCACCGTGTTCTCTGCATCCTGCACTTCCGGGGGGTGCTCCTCTCGAAGGACGTCTTCCGGAAGATCGAGCATCCCCTGGCCAAGTACGCCTCCAAGTTCCTGCTGCCGCATCTGGCCCAGGAGCAAGAAGCGCTTCCCCTGGGAAAATGACGCGGTCGTGCCAGCCCTGAAAGAGGTGGAGACACTGCGATCCCGCGCGGCTGCAATTCTTGCACGAGCAATGTTCGGCTTGCCCGTGCACGATTTACCCTTGTACAGCTCCGGTGAGCCTCTCCGAGCGGAAGCCAACCTGGCGCATGCAGTTTCTCGCGCGCAACACCGTGCTCGAAACAATATAATTCAATGAAGCCCAAATGCTGACATCACTCTCGCGGAATGGGTGCGTGTTTTTTGCCAGCCACCCCTCGCAATAACAGATCTGTTTTTCATTGGCGCTGAAATCATCATGGCCCAGTGCATCGTGAAGTTACGTGCTTCCGAAATATGCGCGGGCTGATGAGGCAGATGCTCAACGATATTTAATTAGTTGTGGCCAAAGCAAAACTCAGACGCGCATCTGTGCCTGCGCGTCTGTCAGAGTAACCTGCTGACAGTTCTATTTGCCTTTGCTCTTAATCCGGTTCTTGCCAAATTTTCCTGATGATACTTCAGCTCTTCTTCGTGCTTGAGAGCTACTACGGCTCGAATTGCTTCAACTGCCACTTGACGCCGTTCTTCTGACATGGCACGCGCAGTCCAGTCCGAGTCCCAAAAATCTCCTTCTCGGAACAAAGAAGCCGAGGTCGCCAATGGCAACCCCGCTCCCACAGGGACGGATGCTCGGTCTTTGTTCCCCTTGGACATTGTGTTGACAGACCAGGCCGAGCACCAAGTCTCTCCTGCCAGGAGCTCTGCCGCCCCGAACGACGGCTACCCGTCGCCGGCGCAGACAACGCCGGGCACGGCAGCGACACCAGACTCCATGGATGATGGAACGATGCAAATGTTGCTTGCGCAACAAGCGGCCCAACACATTGACAGTGATGTGGACTCTGACATGTCGGAAGCAATGCGTGCCTCTGCCGCCGAGCACGGCCAGCGCAAGGAAAGAGCCGGAACAGGGCCGCTCTGTGGCCTGGAGGAAGAAACCGGCATTTTGGTGCTTCGTGCGTGCTTGGCACAGGCCACGAAAGAGGAAGCCTGGTGTGGCAGTGAAAAGCAGATCCCTGCGCCGCTGTGGGGCGGCGACGGCGATTGGCAGCGATTGCGTCCCAACTTGCTGACGTGTCTGAGCGCAGACTCCGCTCAGCTTCCCGACACCTTCTTGACCGTTCCAGCGGCTTTCTGGCGGGATGCAGAGTTTGTCTGCCCCAAGACTGAGGACAATGTCCTGGTGCACGGCGGCACGCATAATGTCTCGCAAGAAGGCATGGCGGGCTGCCATTTCATGCCCTTCCTGACAAGGGAGGAATACGAGCAACTGCCGCCGCCGTGGGTCCCCAGCCGTTTTCGTGACATGGTAATCTCTGTGGCCTCAAGGAGCGGGTTTCTGCCTGAATCCACAAAGTGAGTCACTAGGGCAAATATAATAATCAGCCTAATTTTGACAGGAGTGCGTAATTGCGTGTGTACGTATGTGTACGTGTACATGCGCCGCTGTCTCTGTATGTGTGTCTATACATTATATATATATATATATACATACATATAATATATTGCACAAATCTAGTTGTATGTACATATATACCGCATATATAAATTCTTTACCCAGCCGGCACATTTGCCTCGACAGGAGCGGAACAGCGACTTTGGCAGATCAGGTGCGCGAGTGCGGCGACTGCTACTTCCACAGTATTCTCTGCATCCTGCACTTCCGGGGGGTGCTCCTCTCGGAGGACATCTTCCGGAAGATCGAGCATCCCCTGGCCAAGTACGCCTCCAAGTTCCTGCTGCCGCATCTGGCCCAGGAGCAAGAAGCGACCGGGGACGCCGAAGCCGTCCCGGCAGAGGGCAACAGCGCCGCATTCTCCGAGGCTCCCAAAGGGACTTCAGGACAAAGCATGGAAAAAGCAGAAGAAGACCTGAACAGCTCTGTCCCTTTCTCCCAGGACCAGAAAGAGCCGATTCAGCCCTGCAAGAGAAAGCTTCGCTTTGAGAACTCTTTGGACGACCTGTCCACTGCGGGTCGCAACTTACCAGACCCCGTTGCAGATATGCTGCGCGCACTGCAAGACCATGGAAAGGAGCTGGACGAGCACTACTTCCAAGACTGCGTGTTTGAAGGCTGGTTGAACAAGGATGAAGTCTACAACACCGTCAAGACCAGTTTGTTGAACTCTTACAGCCGGACAGACACGCACCGCCAGCTTGCCACAGACCTCAACCTCGACCTTCGCTTCATGGTGCCCGCGCCCATGGCTGCAGCAGTGCAGACCGTAGCCAAGCGTCGTGGCCTCGCGGCAGAAGCCTTGCTAGCAGTCATAGATGCCAACGTAGGCTTTATGGAGGCCCCAAGCACCACGCTGACTCATCAGCTCGACAGCATGCACGACATCTCCCCAGGCAGCCCCGTTCTTGTCGGCAGCGCAAGCTCCACGCGTAAAAGCCATCTCATCAAGGCCAGCGATGATTGGATGCTGAAATCCAAAGAGGCGCCTGAGATTTTCAAGGCTCGCACAATTCTGAACACGGATTCAACTACCAAAGGGATTCGGAACTGCCTGGAGCAGCATGGCAGATGCGCGGTGTCCTCAGACGAGGCAGCCAACACCTTTGACACGAAATTCAGCGACAGGGAGAGCGGCTTGCATTTTCTGCCTCCGACCAAGCTGAACACTTGGACCCAGGGCGAGTACGATGGGCCTTTAACCGGGCAGAGCAAGCAAGTCCTGGGCGACTACAATTTCATGCTGAAGGTGGCCGGGCAGACGGAGGTGTGCGAATGCATCTTGACCCCTAAGGTGCATGGCTTCCAAAAGAGAATCAAGCACATTTGGAGCGTAGCCACGCTGCATACGGATGACAACCAGTGCAGCAAGTACAGTGAAAATTTGATCCAAGAGTATCATGACTGGATGCTGCGAACGTTCACAACTCCCGCGCTGGCTCAGAGACTGACCCTGGACGGCTACGCTCTCAGTGTCTACCGAGCAGCAAAGGAGGCACTCGTGGACGCCATGAAGGAGATGCCCAGGATGCCGCTTGCCTGGCAGAGCAAGCTGCAGTTCTTCCACAGCGATGTGCTGCGAGAAACACACAAGGTGATGAGGGCCTGTCAGTTTCTAAACAGTAAGTTCGGCAATTCGGATGCAGATAGAGTCGCTGCTGCCGTGGACGAGATCTCGGTGGGCCTCATGCGTTGGCTTCGACAGGTGCAGTTGCACTTCGGCTTCTACCGCTATACGCAGCGCAAGCAGAAGAAAGAGCCAGGACGCAATGAAATCCACGACGCCGTCCTGGCCGACCCCAAGGACCAGGAAGAAGAGGAGCTGCAGAGACCGCAAGACGAGCTCATGAGGCTCATACTCGAGAAAGCGCCCAAGCACCAACTTTTCACGGCTGCAACAGTCCGTGAATGGTTTCGAAACAAGCGCGATGCTTGGTTCCGGAATGGCTTGGCGGACAAGATCTCAGCAGCCATTGACCATCTCACGACACACAACTTGCTGCAGCAGCCCGACTGCCGTGCCGAACAGAAAGAGCCAGAACTTTCGCAGCCGGCCGAAGAGGCCATGCCCGATGCAGAGAAGGCAGGGTCAAGTTCGAAGAAAGGCAGCGCCAAGAAACCTGCAAGGCGTGCAAAGAAAGCGGTACGCGGACGCAAAACCGTGGCGGTCAAGAAACGCACGCTAGCGGATATTATGCAAGACGAGATCGCCGACCAGGAGCGCAAGAGACTGAAAGTGAACTCATGCGAGTTTGCCTGACGCCGATGAAACAGGCACTCGATCAAATTTTTCTAATTAGCTGCTGGCTGAATCGGTTCTAAGCTCTGCACCAGAATCTCCACGGATGGCTCTTCTGCCAATATCATCATGTAGCCGCTCGAACCTAAACTCATCTAAGTTTGCGTGATGCTGCTGGGGTAGATGCTGAATCAAATTTAACTAATTGCTGTTTGCATAAGTTCTGAGCTTTGTACAGATGGACTGTGCGTCATGCACACAAAGAGCAACTCGACGAAGCTCTTCTGCCAATCTGGAAGCCTGAACTTACTCTGACTCTTGCATGACGCACGCAATCTCATACAAAAAAAACTCGCGCGCCGCGCATGTCTGCCGAGAACAGCAGCATTGCATGTCTGCATTCTTTATAACGAAAGTAGAACATGCCCCTTTGTGCTTGTGTCTCACGCATGCCCCTCTGTACTTCTGGCTCGAGTGTGTTTAGTGCCAGGAGGACCCCAGCTTCCACGTCGTGACTCCACGATGCGAATACGGGGTTCGCCAGCCGGCAGACTCTACAAACACAGAACTCAACGTCGCGCTGCCGTCAGCCAAAACACCGGAGCCAGCCCAGAAGCGGACGTGTCGAGTCCCATTGGCAGGATTCGCGCCATGCTTCTCCTAGCAGGGACTCGCCAGGCAAATGATCAATGAGAAGCGCAGGAAAGGCACATGTCGGAAGCAATGCGTGCCTCTGCCGCCGAGCACGACCAGCACAATGACAGAGCCGGAACAGGGCCGCTGTGTGGCCTGGAAGAAGAACTCGGCATTTTGGTGCTTCGTGCGTGCTTGGCAGAGGCCACGAAAGAGGAAGCCTGGTGTGGCAGTGAAAAGCAGATCCCTGCGCCGCTGTGGGACGGCGACGGCGATTGGCGGCGATTGCGTCCCAACTTGCTGACATGTCTGAGCGCAGACTCCGCGTAGCTTCCCGACACCTTCTTGATGGTTCCAGCGGCTTTCTGGCGGGATGCAGAGTTTGTCTACCCCAAGACGGAAGACAATGTCCTGGTGCAAAGCGGCACGCATAATGTCTCGCAAAAAAGCATGCGGGGCTTCCATTTCATGCCCTTCCTGACAAGATAGGAATACGAGCAACTGCCGCCGCCGTGTGTCCCCAGCCGTTTTTCGTGACATGGTAATCTCTGTGGCCTCAGGGAACGGGTTTCTGCCTGAATCCAAAAAGTGAGTCACTAGGGCAAATATAATAATCAGCCTAATTTTGACAGGAGTGCGTAATTGCGTGTGTACGTATGTGTACGTGTACATGCGCCGCTGTCTCTGTATGTGTGTCTATACATTATGTATATATATATATACATACATATATTGCACAAATCTAGTTGTATGTACATATATACCGCATATATAAATTCTTTACCCAGCCGGCACATTTGCCTCGACAGGAGCGGAACAGCGACTTTGGCAGATCAGGTGCGCGAGTGCGGCGACTGCTACTTTCACAATATTCTCTGCATCCTGCACTTCCGGGGGGTGCTCCTCTCGGAGGACGTCTTCCAGAAGATCGAGCATCCCGTGACCGAGTACGCCTCCAAGTTCCTGCTGCCGCATCTGGCCCCGGAGCGAGAAGCGCTTCCCCTGGGAAAATGACGCGGTCGTGCCAGCCCTGAAAAAGGTGGAGACACTGCGATCCCGCGCGGCTGCAATTCTTGCACGAGCAATGTTCGGCTTGCCCGTTCACGATTTACCCTTGTACAGCTCCGGCGAGCCTCTCCGAGCAGAAGCCAACCTTGCGCATGCAGTTTCTCGCACGCCGCACCGTGCTCGAAACAATATAATTCAATGAACCCCAAATGCTGACATCACTCTCGCGGAATGGGTGCGTGTTTTTTGCCAGCCACCCCTCGCAATAACAGATCTGTTTTTCGTTGGCGCTGAAATCATCATGGCCCAGTGCATCGTGAAGTTACGTGCTTCCGAAATATGCGCGGGCTGATGAGGCAGATGCTCAACGATATCTAATTAGTTCTGGCCAAAGCAAAAATTCAGACGCGCGTCTGTGCCTGCGCGTCTGTCAGAGTAACCTTCTGACAGTTCTATTTGCCTTTGCTCTTATTCCGGTTCTTGCCCAATTTTCCTCATGATACTTCAGCTCTTCTTCGTGCTTGAGAGCTACTACGGCTCGAATTGCTTCAACTGCCACTTGACGGCGTTCTTCTGACATGGCACGCGCAGTCCAGTCCGAGTCCCAAAAATCTCCTTCTCGGAACAAAGAAGCCGACGTCGCCAATGGCAACCCCGCTCCCACAGGGACGGATGCTGGGTCTTTGTTCCCCTGGGAAATTGTGTTGACAGACCAGGCCAAGCACCAAGCCTCTCCTGCCAGGAGCTCTGCCGCCCCGAACGACGGCTACCCGTCGCCGGCGCAGACAACGCCGGGCACGGCAGCGACACCAGACTCCATGGATGATGGAACGATGCAAATGTTGCTTGCGCAACAAGCGGCCCAACACATTGACAGTGATGTGGACTCTGACATGTCGGAAGCAATGCGTGCCTCTGCCGCCGAGCACGGCCAGCACAAGGAAAGAGCCGGAACAGGGCCGCTCTGTGGCCTGGAGGAAGAAACCGGCATTTTGGTGCTTCGTGCGTGCTTGGCAGAGGCCACGAAAGAGGAAGCCTGGTGTGGCAGTGAAAAGCAGATCCCTGCGCCGCTGTGGGGCGGCGACGGCGATTGGCAGCGATTGCGTCCCAACTTGCTGACGTGTCTGAGCGCAAACTCCGCTCAGCTTCCCGACAACTTCTTGACCGTTCCAGCGGCTTTCTGGCGGGATGCAGAGTTTGTCTGCCCCGAGACTGAAGACAATGTCCTGGTGCACGGCGGCACGCATAATGTCTCGCAAGAAGGCATGGCGGGCTGCCATTTCATGCCCTTCCTGACAAGACAGGAATACGAGCAACTGCCGCCGCCGTGGGTCCCCAGCCGTTTTCGTGACATGGTAATCTCTGTGGCCTCAAGGAGCGGGTTTCTGCCTGAATCCACAAAGTGAGTCACTAGGGCAAGCCTAATTTTGACAGGAGTGCGTAATTGCGTGTGTACGTATGTGTACGTGTACATGCGCCGCTGTCTCTCTATGTGTGTCTATACATCATATATATATATATATGTATATATACATACATATATTGCACAAATCTAGTTGTATGTACATATACCGCATATATACATTTTTTACCCAGCCGGCACATTTGCCTCGACAGGAGCGAAACAGCGACTTTGGCAGATCAGGTGCGCGAGTGCGGCGACTGCTACTTTCACAGTATTCTCTGCATCCTGCACTTCCGGGGGGTGCTCCTCTCGGAGGACATCTTCCGGAAGATCGAGCATCCCCTGGCCAAGTACGCCTCCAAGTTCCTGCTGCCGCATCTGGCCCAGGAGCAAGAAGCGACCGGGGACGCCGAAGCCGTCCCGGCAGAGGGCAACAGCGCCGCATTCTCCGAGGCTCCCAAAGGGACTTCAGGACAAAGCATGGAAAAAGCAGAAGAAGACCTGAACAGCTCTGTCCCTTTCTCCCAGGACCAGAAAGAGCCGATTCAGCCCTGCAAGAGAAAGCTTCGCTTTGAGAACTCTTTGGACGACCTGTCCACTGCGGGTCGCAACTTACCAGACCCCGTTGCAGATATGCTGCGCGCACTGCAAGACCATGGAAAGGAGCTGGACGAGCACTACTTCCAAGACTGCGTGTTTGAAGGCTGGTTGAACAAGGATGAAGTCTACAACACCGTCAAGACCAGTTTGTTGAACTCTTACAGCCGGACAGACACGCACCGCCAGCTTGCCACAGACCTCAACCTCGACCTTCGCTTCATGGTGCCCGCGCCCATGGCTGCAGCAGTGCAGACCGTAGCCAAGCGTCGTGGCCTCGCGGCAGAAGCCTTGCTAGCAGTCATAGATGCCAACGTAGGCTTTATGGAGGCCCCAAGCACCACGCTGACTCATCAGCTCGACAGCATGCACGACATCTCCCCAGGCAGCCCCGTTCTTGTCGGCAGCGCAAGCTCCACGCGTAAAAGCCATCTCATCAAGGCCAGCGATGATTGGATGCTGAAATCCAAAGAGGCGCCTGAGATTTTCAAGGATCGCACAATTCTGAACACGGATTCAACTACCAAAGGGATTCGGAACTGCCTGGAGCAGCATGGCAGATGCGCGGTGTCCTCAGACGAGGCAGCCAACACCTTTGACACGAAATTCAGCGACAGGGAGAGCGGCTTGCATTTTCTGCCTCCGACCAAGCTGAACACTTGGACCCAGGGCGAGTACGATGGGCCTTTAACAGGGCAGAGCAAGCAAGTCCTGGGCGACTACAATTTCATGCTGAAGGTGGCCGGGCAGACGGAGGTGTGCGAATGCATCTTGACCCCTAAGGTGCATGGCTTCCAAAAGAGAATCAAGCACATTTGGAGCGTAGCCACGCTGCATACGGATGACAACCAGTGCAGCAAGTACAGTGAAAATTTGATCCAAGAGTATCATGACTGGATGCTGCGAACGTTCACAACTCCCGCGCTGGCTCAGAGATTGACCCTGGACGGCTACGCTCTCAGTGTCTACCGAGCAGCAAAGGAGGCACTCGTGGACGCCATGAAGGAGATGCCCAGGATGCCGCTTGCCTGGCAGAGCAAGCTGCAGTTCTTCCACAGCGATGTGCTGCGAGAGACACACAAGGTGATGAGGGCCTGTCAGTTTCTGAACAGTAAGTTCGGCAATTCGGATGCAGATAGAGTCGCTGCTGCCGTGGACGAGATCACGGTGGGCCTCATGCGTTGGCTTCGACAGGTGCAGTTGCACTTCGGCTTCTACCGCTATACGCAGCGCAAGCAGAAGAAAGAGCCAGGACGCAATGAAATCCACGACGCCGTCCTGGCCGACCCCAAGGACCAGGAAGAAGAGGAGCTGCAGAAACCAGAAGACGAGCTCATGAGGCTCATACTCGAGAAAGCGCCCAAGCACCAAGTTTTCACGGCTGCAACAGTCCGTGAATGGTTTCGAAACAAGCGCGATGCTTGGTTCCGGAATGGCTTGGCGGACAAGATCTCAACAGCCATTGACCATCTCACGACACACAACTTGCTGCAGCAGCCCAACAGCCATGCCGAACAGAAAGAGCCAGAACTTTCGCAGCCGGCCGAAGAGGCCATGCCCGATGCAGAGAAAACAGGGTCAAGTTCGAAGAAAGGCAGCGCCAAGAAACCTGCAAGGCGTGCAAAGAAGGCGGTACGCGGACGCAAAACCGTGGCGGTCAAGAAACGCACGCTAGCGGATATTATGCAAGACGAGATCGCCGACCAGGAGCGCAAGAGACTGAAAGTGAACTCATGCGAGTTTGCCTGACGCCGATGAAACAGGCACTCGATCAATTTTTTCTAATTAGCTGCTGACTGAATCGGTTCTAAGCTCTGCACCAGAATCTCCACGGATGGCTCTTCTGCCAATATCATCATGTAGCCGCTCGAACCTAAACTCCTCTAAGTTTGCGTGATGCTGCTGGGGTAGATGCTGAATCAAATTTAATTAATTGCTGTTTGCATAAGTTCTGACCTTGGTACAGATGGACTGTGCGTCATGCGCACAAAGAGCAACTCGACGAAGCTCTTCTGCCAATCTGGAAGCCTGAACTTACTCTGACTCTTGCATGACGCACGCAATCGCATACAAAAAAAACTCGC